CCCCAAAACCCCAAAACCCCAAAACCCCCCTAACAATATACTTAGACTATAATGTAAATTGATTTAAGAGCATTTGAAATTTAAATTAAGTAAAATAAGAATGGCTTCGTTACAGCAAGGTAAATGACACTTTATCATTATATTCTATAGATTTAAACTATTTCTACGTCGACTAGAATGGATAATTGCAGAGAACAGAAAATCTATCTAAAATGAAACCTTCTGAATCATAAGATTTGAGAAGGCTTCAGCGACCCTCAGTTTCAGCTAGTACAAAAACAAGACAACTAAGAAGGAAAATAGATGTTTCACAATCAATGAATAATCCCTAGAACCTCTATGGAATCTATCAAAGATAAAATGAAATGATGCAAAATCAAGGCGCCTGGTAGCAGTCTCATTAAAATCATAGTACTGGGACTATGTTTGCAATGGACTCTGCCCAAATGCAAAAATCAAATGTAACATCAGGTGAATAATTATAAACAGCCAATTCACAAGCTCCTTAGATAAATCAATTTTTCTCACCTTAAAATCAAAATTATATTGGAGGAATCAATGCAGCCCCTGGCTTTGTGCAAAATTAGATATTCATAAACTATTTTAATAACCCATAGAATCCCTAGATAATGCCAGTTAATCAGCAATATTTCCCTTAAGGTTTCAATCAATAGTAGTCAACTGTTTTAAAGCCGAATCCGTTTAGGAAAAGTGTCAGAAGTGCCAATGTCAAATCTAGAAGCCTTTCTCACTACAAGAATAGTTTGAATAGAAATCAATCTAAGATTACAACTAATGTTAATATGTCTCATTAGTCCATGTCACCAAAGACCATTTAGGATAGTCAAATAACAGGATTTTCAGGAATGCTACCTGATACTAATAACTAAACATTGAGTGGTCCTGCCCTTTATAACAATTATAACTTACCTGTTTCTGGGATATAGCAAAATCAATACAACCCACTATAATATATTCCATAAATCGATATGGAGTATGCTAAAATTCAGAGGCGCAACACTCATCATGCAAAGAAGGCAAGCAGAGCTTTTGAAGATAAAAATGTTGAAGATCTCCGAGTTCAATTAGTACAGTCAAGAAGAAGTTCAATCATTCAGAGTGAAGTGCTTAGAACTTATTATCAGATGCTTTTGGGCTTATCTTATAAAATAATGAAAGAAATGGGCATTATTGATCCATCACAACTGCTATTATAACCCGATGCTTACTAGCAACTAGAAAGTGATGATAATCAAATGATAGATACTACTTAAGATTTAGCATAAAATTAGTATGACTCAGCTATTCAAAATGCATCGAGCGTGAATGCTTTAAATCTGGTTGAAAATGGATAAGGCAATAATACAATCGAAAGAGAAACTAAAGAAATCATAAATCAAATTAAGAAGACATAAGTTCAAAATGTGCCTCATAAGAAGAGGACGATTATAAGTGAGTAGTATATGATGCACTAGGGCAGTTAGTAAGCACTAGATATCATTTCCTAAAATAATTTGGAAAAACATGTTATCAATAATGACAAGGTATTCCAGGAATTAAAGGAGTAGAAGTAGAAAATAAAACTGCTTAAAGCCAAACTCAGTAAGAAAATCAAAGCATATAGGAAAATTTCACTATAAGTCGATCCATAGCTAGAAAATGAAAAGCAAATTCTGAATAAAGCATATAATCTAATGGGTCAACTCAGGAAAAAGCTACTAACAATGGAAAGAAAATTTGAAAATTCAAAGTTTTCACCCTCGAGATAAAATCTTTAATTTTAGCTTAATCAGTAATCCTCTTAACTTGGTAGAGCCAATACTTTTGCAAAACAGTCGACTTTAGATAGAGCAATTACAAATAATTATGACAGAGGGGAATTATCTCCAAACAATCAAATAAAACTAAAGAACGGTTCAATGATTTCTCCCCTCAAATTTAATAATCAATTGAATGGTGGTGGCTAAGATGACTAGTATAGGCAATCAAGCTCTGAGAGACTAAGAGTAAAACAAGAAGCCCTTATGAATCTTCTCAAACCAGTTTCAAGTGTGCATAAAAGACTCTCTTCGAATTAAGCAAGCAATCATCATATTCATCAGGATCAATAGATATTTAAAAAAGCAGCTACTTTAGCCTTATATGATGAAAACTTTTCTAAGGACACATCATTCAATCAATCTCATGGTAACCAGAACCCCTTGCCAAAAGAGGACAGTCTAATGATGATGGAGGAATAGGAGGATGAAGAAGATGACAGAGTCAACTAGGAGTCGAAACTCTCCATCAAACACAACAAAGTTTAAATATAGGATTTACAGGTAATTATTCTTAATATTAAATGATAATAGGAGAAATTAAGATTCTTTGAGAAAAAACTTAGGAAAAGAACTAATAATTGTTTAAAGAATCATGAATTAGTAAAGGATTTCCATTTCTACAAGAATAAGTAGGCTGACTAAATAAAGGAAAAGCTACAATTATTTGAGCAGAGAGAGCTATTTTCTGTCTAATAGGAAATTGAAAGATTCAAAATAGACAATAAGAAAGCTAAGCTTGATCTCTACAGAGCATAGTAGATGTACATTAAGAAATATGGATAAGAGTTCATGTTTAAAAATGAATTCCACGCAAACGAAGATCTTGATGATACTTACGAAAGAGAGTGATGATGGATACATGTGGAATTTCCTGATAAATAGTATGATTATAAATCGTTAAATCTTTTAACCTATACTTAATAATACTAATTTTTATTCAAACATCATTAAAGAATCTTTTAAAATAATTTTGGTCTTAGCAAAATATATTAATTAATAAATATGCCATCTAAAAGGAGAAACAACGGTAGAAACAAGAAGAATAAGGGTCACGCCGACACTGTTCGTTGCACTAACTGCGGTAGAGTCGTCTCCAAGGACAAGGCCATCAAGCGTTTCTAGCAGAGAAATATGGTGGATGCCTCCTCAAAGAGAGATATCCAAGAAAACTACGCCTACGCTCAAGCAGACTTCCAGATGCCTAAGATTTACGTGAAGCTCTCATATTGCGTATCTTGCGCCATCCACGCCAGAATTGTCAGAGTCAGAAGTGTTGTTGACAGAAAGCACAGATACACAACCAAGCTCAGACATCACGTCAGACCAGAGGCCCTTACTGGAAACGCCTCCCTTCCCCTCTCCGCTCTCCCAAGAATTTGAGTAGGTGAATTAAGATGTGTTTGTCTCTGTTTTCTCAAAATATTCACTCTAATTATATTTATTACCTATTTATACTAAATATTAGCAATATAGAACGATGGGGTTTTGGGGTTTTGGGGTTTTGGGG